CTCTTTGGAAGAACTTTATAACTCCCACAGTCTTAAGAAAGCTCAGAGCATTCTTAGGGATCAATCTCACGCAGCATATTCTCCTTCTGAATTATTGCCACCTGGCAGATGGTAAGGTAAAGGTAAAGGTAGTCCCCTGACATTAAGTCCAGTCATGTCTGACTCTGGGGTGTGGTGCTCATCTCCATTTCTAAGCCAAAGAGCCAGCGTTGTCCGTAGACACCTCCAAGGTCATGTGGCTGGCATGACTGCATGGAGCGCCGTTACCTTCCCGCCGGAGCGGTACCTATTGATCTACTCACATTTGCATGTTTTCGAACTGCTAGGTTCGCAGAAGCTAGGGCTGACAGCGGAAGCTCACGCCGCTCCCCGGAATTGAACCTGTGACCTCAGCAGCTCAGTGCTTTAACCCACTGCGCCACCGGGGGCTCCCCCTGGCAGATGGTACAGGGTGACAAAGACAAGGACAAACAGACTGAAGGATAGCTTTTATCCTAGAGCTGTGGCTATGCTGAACTCCATGGTTTCGCACTGATGTGGCAATGGGGGCTGGGTGGTGGTGGTAGGGTGTGGAGGGATAGGTATGTTGTTTTTTTGGGGGTGAGGTGGGGGGGGGGGAAGCATGTAATTTCATTGTGAAATAGCATAATAAAGCTATTCTATTTTCTAATTCTTATTCTATTCTACATAGCATTGTTCTCCTCAAAGAACTCTAGGGCTACAGCATTCTTTCTTCCCAAACACAATGGATTTTGGACTTGAATGAATGGTAGAATATCTATATGCCACCTCCACATCTTTGGGACGATAGAAGTATAGGACAGAATCTGCAGCCAGTAACCTTTTATGTGAGTGAGGTGATAAATCTGCTCCACTTTTTAGTCTGGATTTTAAATGTTCTAAACCTTATCCCTAAAATAAGTGGATTGCCTTGGGCAGTTCGTTTAAGATCTGGACTAAAATGTGGAGCAGATTCAACATCCCATAGCAGAGAAAATGTATCCCGTAAGAGCCCCACAAAGTCACTCGTTTTAACAGGGCTTCTGTATTTCACTTTAGAAATCTTAAACTTTAAAGGTTAAACACCCTAAACACCTATGATTCTATCTGATGGCCACCAGTCTAGATAACTCTTAAAAGGATATAACACATTTTGTTTTTTGTGTTTGTTTTTTGGTTGTGTCAGGAGTGACTCCTGGTGTGAGAGAATATATGTTGCCTCACCAACGTGTAAGTCAATGAGTCTCTGACTGTAGCTGGGACACAAGCCTATGTTTTTAGCATTATATTCACATCAACTGCCAGAGATTTATTTTTTTTTGTCGTGTCAGGAGCGACTTGAGAAACTACAAGTCACTTCTGGTGTGAGAGAATTGGCCGTCTGCAAGGACGTTGCCCAGGGGATGCCTGGATGATTTGATGTTTTTATCATCCTTGTGGGAGGCTTCTCATATGTCCCCGCATGAGGAGCTGGAGCTGATAGAGGGAGCTCATCTGTCTCTCCCCGGATTCGAACCTGCGACCTGTCGGTCTTCAGTCCTGCCGGCACAGGGGTTTAACCCACTGCGCCCCCGGGGGCTCTTATGGATGACAGTAAGTCATGACAACGACCATATATTGCCTCAAGTAGACAATATGTCTCTTCATACAATCTGTGTTTGGAACATGTATAATGCCATCATAGCGAAGCAGAATACTCAACCAGAAAGGTTTTATGTTCTTACATTCTAGAATGGCTCCTGAATTCTTATGGCAGCCACTCAATTAACTTCTCACGAAGTTGTATGTCAGGTGAATCTTATATTCACATCATAGCATTGACAAGCTTTCCTGATTAGGGAAATGTAATAGCAAAAATGTATGACAACTGAAGGTATCTGGTTTCTCAGTAAATTTTATTACATTATCACAGATCTTGGAGAACTCATTTTTTTTACACTATTGCTGGCAAGGGGGATTCTGTAGTCCCAACAAAGTAATTTCCCAAAAATATGTTGTACTGTATTTGATGCAAATTCACTTGCAAAAAAGAGGGACATGAACAAGAACGTGACTTGAACTTAAGCACTGAAACCAGAATAACTGACTAGAGACTGGGCTGGGGAAACATTTCAGATAAGACTGTGAAAGAGATATTCTTGCTTAACCTATGGCACTGTGCAGTCTTGGCTCTCCAAGTCTGTTCTTAAGCACTTAAATCAGCCTAATTGAGAGCCATTATCAACTTTCTGCATCTCTCAAGTTTGTGATACTGTATAATGCACTGATAATTTCACCTCATACAAAATACAAAAGTATACCATGGAGTAATTTTTACCCAATGCTACACGAGTCCCATGTGGAAGGAAACGCCTCCAAGCTCTTCAGGGTAAAAGTATGATGGGAGTTGTACTTACCTGTTCCTCTCTCTCTCTCTCAGAGGCCGCAGCATTAGCAGTTAGGATGGAGAGAGGGCTTTCTTCAGCTGCTGGGCCTTATGTCAATATATCCAGAGATCTTTTTGCACCACATGAATGATCTTGACTATGAAGAACTGTTCTCATCAGAACAATATAAAGTACAAGAAGATGTAGGGACTTAAAAACAGTATCTATGTATACCCAATTAATTGCCACCTACAATGTGTTTAGTGTTCTAGTAGTGTTTATGCACTGGACGACGATGTCCGAGACCTCGGTTCAAACCATTGCTCGGCTATGCAAACCCACTCAATGACCTGGAGTAAGTCATACTTTGTCAGCCTCAGATGAAAGCAAAGGTAAACCCCCACTGAATAAAGTTTGCCAAGACAATCCTATGATAGGTTCACCTTGGAGTTGCCATATGTTGGAAAAGACTTGAAGGTACACTGCAGCAGGGAAGAGTGTGTCCCAAAATGTCTGATATGAAAGACGAAAGGACTACAGTAAGCTCTGAACCTAAGCACTCTTCTTAGCCTGTCAGCAGCACCAGAAGCCTTGCTCAGGTGTTTTCTAATGTAAGGAAAGATGTGCCAGCCAAACCCAACAAGATTCTTCAGCAGTCAGGCATCCTTGTGCCCAATCCTTCATTTCTGTCACCCTCTACCAATCTCTTTTCATGAAAAATAGTTAATCAGCCTCTGAAGACTCCAGGAGTGGCCTGCTAGCCATTTTGCCCCATGTTCTTTGTCATTTTCAGGACTGTACACGTCTTCTCTCCTCCCTAAACAGAAAGTAATTGATTGCCCAGATCTAAATAGGGCGTGGAGAGAACAAAATTAGGGCAAGATAGCAGAGCTCGCCAGTGCAATCTTTATAGAATTATTCCAAAATAATTTTTGCCCTTAGAATTAGTTTACATTTACTTTTAAACACTTTAAAAAAGAAAAAAAATGTATATGTTTTATGGCACACATTTGGGAGCAAAGTATTGCAGTGATAATGTAGCATTCTGCAGTTTAGTTTGAAGCCTGATCTAGTGTCTTTGCAATTAATAAATGCAGGATATATGGCTGTTCTGGCTGGCTGTAGTTACACATTTTCTGTTGACTGTGCTAGAAACAGTGGCAAAAGAAGATACAAAACTGAATCAAGAATCCTGCAAAAATAAAAAATGTATTTCAAGACATAGGAAATGTTATATTTAATTCAGACCCTAGTAAAATAAAAAATTAAATCGTTAACAATATGCATGGAAAGGAGATCTATAATTAATTTTTAATATGTTTTGCATATGATGCCAGCAAAGTTTGTGTTGAGGAAAAGGTGTTTTTTATTACTTATAAGCAAGTATTTTTTTAAATGCGTGAAACTGCAAAATGTCTGCCTCTAAACACCAAGTACTGTGGGGAAAATAAAACTCTGTGTAATGAGTGTGTATTGATCACACATGATGAAACATAGCATCTTATTATTTACTTTATTTATATACCGCTTTTCTCAGCCCTCAGGCGACTGGCAATCCCCTATGGCATCTCTATGGAACCTGTTTAATCTAGGTTAACATACTCTAAAGGTACCACTCCTGATCTTGGAAGCTAAGCAGAATCAGATCTAATTAGGATTAGGATGGGAGACCATAAATAAAAACCAGGTGCTGCAGGCTGTATTTTGACAAAGGTATCACCTCTAGGTATTTCTTGCCTAAGAAACCTTAAGAAATTCATGGAGTCACCAGAGGTGACTTGAAGGCACGTCTACAAATCTACCAGTCATGTCCTCTTTCTGAGCAGCTCCTGTTGTATAAGAAGGGGCATAGATCTCTTTTAGTTCTCAGCATCCTCTCCTTGAATAGTTGGGAGAAAATACTATCAGTAAAATAAGCATAAATTGAACATGTTTCAAGATAGTGTTAGTCCTTCCCTCTTCGAAGTGTAACTCACAGTTCCCGTTAGCTGAATCAAAGTTCAGAATACAGTAACAAAGTTCTTCTTAAAGTTTAGTTGGAATATTTTTTTCCTGCAATTTGAATCCATTGCTCGTGTCTGGAGACTAGGACACAAAGCAATGAATTCGAATTGCAGGGGGAAAAAAGATTCTAACTACCAGGAAGAACTTTCTGATACTAACAGCTTTTCAGCAGTGAAATACACTGCCTTGAATGGTGGTGAAGTCTCCTTCTCTGGAGGATTTTTAAGCAGGGCTGGATGGCCATCTGCCAGGAGTGCTTTGATTGTGTGTTCCTGCATGGCAAGGGAATGGACTGGATGGTCCTTGGGGCCTCTTCCAACTCTGTGTTCAACGAAATAGTAACATACAAAGGCTGAGAAGTTTGGCTGGTTAGTCTTTTAAATGCAGTGGCAAAAGTTTACGGTTCACAGGATGCACAGAAGTTCAAAATACCCCTAAACAGAAATATCAGGTGAACCTTTTTTCCCCTCTATAACTATCATAGAACACACAATTGTGTTTCTTGAAAATTTTATTTCAATTTAAGTTATGGGGCCAGCTGGATTTTCTAATAAGAAATGCATTCATTTAAAAGAATGAGATGCTTCTGTGGAAGAAGAATTACAATTGCATACATCTTTTTTTTTAAAAAAAAAAAACTCACATTAAATAACTTTTAGTCATATCTGTAAGCCTTTCACACAGATAAGAAACCACTTCCAGTACAATATTTTTTTAATATGAATAGCACATCAAATGGTCTTAAATACAACTTTTTTAATGCCAACAATCCAAGGATTAATGTTTTTAAAAAGTTTGAGCCACTTTCCCCATGCCGAAGAGCAGAGAAGCAAAACCAATATCCAAACCCATCTTTTAACTTCTTTATATACACACATACAGAACGTTTAGCATTTCTACTTTCCCCCCCTAAAATGGAAGCCTTACACATAATGGAGAATAACTTGCCAAGGAATATTTTCCTCCTCTTAACTACGATAAACCAAAATATAAAAAAGGACAGAGTACTGAACTACAATATCTCATGGCCCGTTTTATGGTCTATGTGAATGATTTAAGAGGTTTGCGATTACAGATTCTTCTTTCAATAGACATTTGAATCACTTTGCAAAGGACAGGTTATGTATGATTTCCAAGGAAGCATGACAATGCTGAGATATCCATTATTACCAGAATCACATTTGCTGGAGATATTTTCTTACTTCCTTCATGAAGGCTTTAAAAATTTGCTAAAATGTCAATCAGGATATTAGTTTAATTATTGATGAAATAATTTAACAAGAAAGAAGCTAGAAAGCAATAAATAATTGTATAGCATTCTCAGTCAGGTTCAATCATGCAGAATCTGAACGTTCATACTTTTTATCTGTAAGATTGGTTGGTTGTGATTTCAGAACTACTATTTAGATTAATAGATACAATTTTGATAACATAGTTTAGATACACTTAGCATTTTTGTTATGATCACAGTAACAAAAAGTGGTGCAAAATCAGTCTTTTTAAAAATAAATACTGATAGTTTGCAGCATTAAGGAACAAGATATTGACATAAGGATAGTTATGAAATTATGGGTTCTGATGTAAAGGGCAATTGTAAGTTACTTACTGTCACAACTATCATACTGAATATTAGCTATATGAACAGAAGAGAGGTTCTCTATATACTCACAAGAAAAACAAACTGATATTAATTTAGCATAATCTTCATAATTTGTAATTGGCTGAACACAGCACTAATATGAATGGATAAGGCCAACACTGAAGAATATAGGTTAGTGGGTTCCAGCACTACGTATTAGTCTATCCTAACGGATGGCACCCGATTAGACCAGAAAATACAGGAAAAAAGGGTTCTCTTCCTTTTGATGCTGCAGTATTTAAGAAATGTGAAATCAGCATTTTCATGTGATCCATTATAATGAGCTTTCATTATGCAAAACTCAGTTATCAGGTAAAAGTTACAGACTAATACATTAACATTCCTCTGCTGTACAAATTAAATCATTTTAAAAGAAATGAGCAGCCCAGGAGTTATATACAAAAGAAAACAACAAGCATTGAAATGAAATGCGAAGCGTCACTGCTAAGTTCTACTGCCTGAAACGCCTTTGAAGTAAGATGAACAAAAACCCTTATAACACATTTCCAAGTCTATAACTCAGTTCTCAGAAAAATCACTCTTTCCAAAACAAAAACAAAGAAAACCCATAAAGCAGTGAAAGGCATATATACATTTTCCTTATGAACTTGGAGATTTCACTCTTCGAGAAGTTGCTATGTTTCTGTATCAGTTTTATTTGCAAGACAACTGTTCATCCCAGTAAGCTCACATCTTAAGATACATATCCCCTTTGATTACAAATAAAGCACTGCACATTTTTTTAAAAAATCAAGGCATACAATCTTATACTATGGTGCCAAATATGCACAGATCACATTGTGCTCGCATCTCATACAAGGTTAAGTGCAAACGTACGGATTGAATCAGATTTGCAAGCATGCACCCCATCACTTAAACTACTCTAACACCTTCTCTCCTATCTCAAACTACCATCTATAGGTTTGCTTTCATGAGCCAATCATCTCCCCCTCCCCCCAGACTTCTAAAAACAAGCAGTGTGCTTGAATTCAGACACAAATACCAAGAAAAGTCCACATTGTGCAAGAAAGCAGCAGCTAGGTTTGTCAACTTGGACTAAAAAATAAAGAGAGAAAAACAAACACTGTTCACTGAACAGCAGATTAGCAGTAATGTTCCTCATGAATTGATAAGAGTGCCTGATGCTGAATATCTAACAGCAAATGCTGAATTTGGATTTAATATTTTAGGGATTTATAGGAGATTAAGCTTCTTGCTGCGCTGGTCTTTTCAAATCCCTGATCTGTTTAACTAAATAGGTCTTCTCGTCATTAAATTGTTCGTCTTCGGTCCTGTCATTCTGAAACTTGCTGAGAAACTCAATAAGTTTGGTCTGGTTCTTTAGAAGAATATCTAAGATGGGCTGCGTCTTGTTTGGGTTGGCTACAAACACCTGCAAAAAGGAGGAAAATGAATGCAAGAAATGTTCAGTTAATGTATTGGGCACCATTATGAGCTGAATACAGATTTATACTTGATATAAAATTACAAGACAAGCCTATAATATACTGAAATGCCACAAGTAATACATGCATAATTACTGGCATGTGATTTCATCATACGTAGGGCCAAATCCACTTAAATTACATAATGGATTATTATTTTCAGGAATGTCATGTATTAATGGGATAAATTTCTGCCACAAGTCTAGTACAATTTATAAAATTGTGTAGTTTTTTGAAAATATGTATTTGCATCCATTACAAATCTTTTTATTAGAAAGACATAGTGTTTTACTGAGTAAATTAGTGTTTTACTGAGTAAACTGAGTACCATGTGTTCAAGCAGTCATTATGATAATGAAAGGACACATGCATGCAGAAATGTGGGCGTATTATATGACACTGGAAAAACATCAGGAATTATTAAGTGGCCCAGGTTACTCTGTCTTCAACAATAAAACATTATCCTCAAAACAATGTTTATGTCGCCATGTTTACTCATGTTTTAGTGAATGGTTCTTTTATATTTTTATATTCTGATGCTTAATTCTTCATTGTAAGTCCACTGTTATTACTGTGCTTTACCATGTATTATTTTTGATGTGTTAGTACTCATCTGAAGCACTGAATGTTTGCCTTTTGTGTATGTAAACCGCCCTGAGTCCCTTCAGGAAGAAAAGGTGGTCTAGAAATAAAGATGATGATGATGATTATAACAAGGCTAGATGCAAAAGGGTAACGAAGTTAAAAGAGAAACTACTTTGCGTTACAGAACTGCCTGTCTACCACTTTCAAATTAGCAAGACGTCTCAAATTAATTGTTGCATTCTGAAGTATATTTAGGCCTGTGTAAACCTAGACATCCTTTGAACATCATTACAAATACAGTTGAAAAGATTTTTTTTTTACCTTAAAGACATGAAAGGCCTCAAACTGAATGTTGCGACTCTTGTCTCGTAAAAGGTTCATCATGAGCTTGAGATTTTCAGGTTTACTGATGTATTTTGTCATAATTGTAAAGTTGTGCCTATCCAACAACAATTCACCAAGCAGCTATAGAAACAAAAACAGTGTGGGGGTTTTTTTGGTTCATAAAGATCTGTACAGTCCAACACACCACCAGCAACCATTAACAAAAAGCAAAAGTGACATTCATAAACATATTAGACTACAGTTATTTTTGTTTTGCAAAAGCTAGACACTTTGCCATTATGTGGTGTCATTATTATAAAATTCCCTCTGGATGCTATCTATATGAGCACTGCAAGGCAGTTAGGTTCATTTTGATGATTTTCAGGAAGATCTGGGTATAGGTGTGCAAGTTTCTTTTAAGATTAGACAAGAAAGATTATAGTGGGAGGGGGAGTTGGTGGTGGTACATAAAGGACATTGGAGTCTTCTCTATTTACATCCTTATACACAATAAAGTTCTGGTCATCTACAGAACTTAAGAAAGTTGTAGTATGCTACACAAATCTGTTGCAGGTCGAATGGGTGCAGTATCAGCAGCAGGTGGGGAAATGATCATGTCTGTGATACCTGAGGTTGGTTCTTCTGCATAACAGTTTCTACACCTTGAATTTAGTGATCAAAATGTTTGCTCTTACATTGCTGTTAACAACTAAAGATAAGAGTTATTAATTAACAGAACTTAATAATTTTGCAGGATATGTATACTGAAATTCTCTTTAGTAAGGAACTTTCCATGGCAGCGGTACAATATCATCACCAGAAGAAATCTGTGGAAGACTCTTGGTATAAAAACTGAGGTAAAAACTATATGACGTTTAACATACTGGTTTCCAAAAGCATGAAATCCAGTTTGACATTCTTCAAATTTTTGTAAGCAGAGGCAAACAAGTGGCTCACACCACCCAATGGAAAGCATTATTACAAGAACACTGCTACAGTTAGGCTAATACCAGAAGTATCTTTTTACCTTAAGAGACTGTCGTTTTGTCACATAGTTTTCTGAGTGAAGCAACTTCTCATATTCACTGAAGAACTGAACGGAGAAAGGAAATAAAAATCAGGACTTTCCAACCTATCCAATTGTCTGATCCAAATAATTTCAATGACCTGGAAACACAACTATGAAACCCAGAAATAAAAAGAAATGAAGACTCAAAAATTCAATTATTTTGCTTTTTAAATGTTGTCAAAGTGTATACGTAAAGTCATACAGGCTCCTAAAAAATATTTAGGTAGGAAATCAGTCAATGACAAAAAAAAATGCTATAGTGATCTCAACGGAACATTTCTGGCAAACCTTTACGCAATTAAAGACCAGAGAAAACAAGCATCTAGCTATTGTTATTATCAGACACTGCCAGTAGATGGAGCAAAGTTGTTAAACATGCACTTGCGAGAAGAAAATAATCAATACTGTTAGCTCTTTGTATCCATGTGTTCTGCATCCAAGGATTCAAACAACCACATCTTGAAATATATTTTTGGGGGGGGGGGGCAGCACACAGAGCACTATGCTGATGTGTAGGCAGACCCAACTGTAGCCTCCCATCATTTCACTGATCTTCAGGCTCTCTCCGGCAATCAGTGAAATTGTTTGCCATTTTATATATGGGATGCCATTTTAATACACCACTGTATACAATGGGACTTAAGTGTACCCACAGATTTTGTACCCATGAATGAATGAAAAATACATTCACTTTACTGGTATTAAAAACAACAAGTCTATGATGTTTCAGAAAGAGTGGTGCGGGGGCTAGAACAGAGGTAGGCAAAATGCAGTCTGCAAATCATATGCATACTCTGTATCCTTTGTTATAGCTCCCCTGAATTCTTTTTTTTAAAAGCTTGCATTACAATTTGCCATCAACATTCAGTGGAAAACTAATGTACTACAGTGAATGGAGAAAAGGAACTGCTATATTTACTTGTTTATAAGTTGGCCTCTTGCATAAGTGGCTGGATGGCCATCTGCTGTCAGGGGTACTTTGATTGTGCTTTTCCTGCAAGGCAGGGAGTTGGACTACATGGCCCATGTGGTCTCTTCCAACTCTATGATTCTATGATAACTTGAAGCCAGGTTGTGAGGGCTAAAATTATGGAATAATATGACCTGTAGATAAGTCAAGAATTATTCTGTAGAAAGGGGGAAACACTAATGCCACCTCAGGGGGTGTGATGCTTTTACAAAACCCTCACAATATTCCTTTCGCTCCAAATGTACACTGGATGAATGAAAAGATTTATGATTTTTATTTCTGTTTAACCAGCAGAAAGGGAAATATGATCTAGGTGGATGGGGCAGATCATACAATGGCAGAGATGCCAACAGTTCAATATCCAGCATTTCCCAAGGAAGCACAAATTTAAATTGAGGGCAGGATTTGTGGACAAAATTATGGATTTTGACATGACCCATAAATAAGTTGGAGGCCATTCTATGGCAAGCGGAAAAACACTAATGTCACCTCAGGAGACCAGTTGCCCCTGGCTGCTGCCATTTCCCCACTCAGACGTTCAAAAAGAGCAGAAGCAGAAATGTAGTGAAGAAAGTCTAGGACCTTGTTTTACATTCATCTTTTGCTAATCTACTCAGTGGAGGTGATGGTTCCTTTGTTGATAAGAGGTAAGGTGCAGTACACTGATTTTTAGACTTAGACATAAGGATATAGGGTGAATGCATTCATGTTCCTTCCATAGACTCTACAAAACACTTATTTGTGCTTAGGGAAATGAGAAATAGCAAAGAGCACCAAACAGTGGATCACCCAACAGCTTCAAAGTCTCTTACAGAACATGCAAATTGTGGTGGCCCCATTGAGGAAAACACATACACACACATTACTGTGACCAACTACCAGTTTCATAACTAAGCCTTCTTCCCTTAAGTTCTCTGTACGACTCCATCCCCCTAAATCCAACAAATACATCTTTTGGAGTGTTCTGATTCAATCCACTTAGGAGCAGCATCTTGGAAATCAGCTTCAATTTGGACCTTGCTTCAGGATTTGATCAAATCGAAGAATATTTATAAAAGGAAGTATTTTATTAGTATATCATAAATAGCAACACTTCTGATACATGATGTCCGAAACAGAAATACATACCCTATCGTAATGCTGTTCCAAGAACTCTGCACTCAGCAACTTGTGCCTTGTAAGTAAATCCTGCAAACCAAAGATTTCAATGTTATTTAAATGTATACTATTGTTTAAGTTTATCCCTTTCTCATGGAAATACCATTTTTCATATTAGGCAAAGGAGAAAATTAAAATATTTTAGAATCAAATATATGCATTCAGCTTTCAAAGTATGACAAATATAATTAGGATCTAATGAATATTTAGTGAATATCTGTCAATCACATATTCCTTTTAGTTCCTATACAGTTGATCCAAAGGTTCCATTGTGGGCTACAATGTGATAGTAAAATATATAATCCTGACCCACCATTGAGAAAGGGTTAAGGTAAAGCAATGGACTGATTATTGAGACTGAAATTTATGTTTCTACTACCAAACTAGGGCTGACTTGGAAGTGAGAGAGACTTACTTGTAAGAAACGTTTTGATAGTGTTTGTCCTTTCACTGTCTTATCACATGATTAAATAAGTGTAGATGACATTTCATTCATACAACAAGCACGGCCCTTATTATTTATTTATTTGCCATACTTGTACCCCACCCTTCTCTACCTCACAGGGTGACTGGGGGTGGATGGGGGACTCAGGCCTTGGTCTGCATTTGCTTCCTTTACCTCCAGTGAAATTAACAGAACTAAGTCTGGCTAACTATGTAGCATGTTTATATTATCTCATCCACTATGTACAACTCCAAATTGTCTGGTATCACTTACAGTATATGACTACATGGGACTATTTAACAAAATTAGTAAATACCAGTTTGTTTTTGTTTGCTTAGCTCTTATGCTACAATAACCTTTTATGTTCATTCACAATGTTGGTGTCTTGTATACATCAAGTGGTAACACTGCCAGTTAAATCCATTTCAATTTTAGGTTTTGACACAACAAAATGTAGAAAAATCAAATGCTGTGGCTGAATACTTCTGTAAAGCATTGTGTCTTCTGGACAAGAAATCCATGTTCTAACAAGCTTTTCTGGTAAAATAAAATCCCTCCTAATGTTATTGCTATGATTTCATTAATACTAGTCTATAGCTGTTATCTTTCCTGGCATGAAAAGGCTAGTGTTATGCAATTTCCATATTTTTTAATCTGTTGTATAGTGTTTCTGGAGGTTAGTGGATAAAGCTTAGTATGTTTTTTAAATAAGCAGTTGTTTTTAAAAAAACTACCTTAAAAGTGGCAAATGCATCTGAAGCAATATCAAATGTTGACATTTCCACGTATCTGAAGAAGTCATAAAACTGTTCCGACCACAAGATTATTTTTGCCAGTGGTTCGTGTCTGATGCATTCTCTTAACATGATTCCACAATTCAAAGCAATTTCTGGAGACTCGTATCTGTGAAATGAGAAATCAACATAAATACATGACATGACATGCAATCATAGCAAGATATCATATACATTTCCCAGAATAGACTGTACCTTACCTGTTTTAGTGTTTTTTTAAAACGAATTTTTATTTTTACAATACAAAAAATACATACCGTGCACACACAAAACATTTACAATTCCCACCACCAGCATGAGGATTATTTTCTTTCACATATTCATTTCTTTTTGAGACAATAATTATATCTTTATCTTTATACATTTCCATCCTGTATACTATATAACGTGTATCTTATTTCTTATGGCTTGATCTCCAGAATGATTCATAATATAGTTCTTTACCTGTTTTAGTAACCTTAGATTTTAGTATACTCTTATCAGTATTAACACACTGGGATAAGGGGAGTAAAGAGTTTGAATGGATAAATAACATTTCATATATTTGGTGCTCACGTTGATCTTATAATTGTGCTTTGGGATAAAGCAGCATCCTAGTCAGGAAATAAAGGCTAGTATTCTAAAAAAGAGTGTCTTTCCCAAAATAAGAACTATAGTAACGATTGACAGAGTCACAAAAGTAAGTCCTATGCCTTTCTTTATAGATAAAAGAAAGGAGGAGATGAACATTATTTATTTATTTATATCCCGTTTTTTTCTCTTTTTAAGGAGAGTAGCTACTATAAACACCATTACAATACAATTTAAAATATACAAATATTTATTGTAACTCTGATCACTAATGTGACAAAAAACAAACAGTAAAGGAAAATAATTTGTTTCCAATTCATAAATAGCTTCCAACAGTGTTTTTAAATTGACAAATGTTTATAATTATGTGATGTCTTGAATTAATAAACTGACTTTATAGATTTTTAAACGAGAAATCAAGATTTCATATCCTTTTGGAACAAAACAAAGCTAAACATCTCTATGTTCCAAACAGACCCAAAACACTGAAGCTCACTTTTGTTTCATTGTGAAAGGATGCATAACAAAATATCAAGCATGATGCTCTGGTAGAACAATGCAGATGATATACGGAGAGGAAAACAGCAATCTGGCAGGGAGTATACACAATGAATTGCCCTTTATTTAGGCAAGCTTGGAGAAATAGTGTTATCATAGTTATGAGGATATGAGTTGTATAAAAAACCATGGGGTGAAATTGTGGTGTAAGATTTTATTCCTAAATCCTGCTTGGTGAACAAAAGACAAATAGCCAGTGTTTAAAGGCCAAGTTGTGCAACAAATTATACAAACAACTCTGGATGTTACATTTCCAAAGTCAAGCTTCAGCAACAGTGACTCCATCCACAAAGACAATTCAGGAGATTTCATACAAAGGTATATTTCAGCTATATCTTTTTTATATCTGAATGGCACAGTGAACTGTCTTAGATTGAGAACATAAGCAAAATTTTCTAGACTCCTCCTTATAGCTGTTTTGATGCATGGTCATGCATACTATGAACCAGGAGTTCGGTTTAGCATTAATTTTGTTACTGTGTTGTTCACTGTATATTTTAGCTCTATTCCTCTTTTGTTTCTCCCAATCAGCTATAAGCAATGCACATCACACAGTAGGCATGTGTCTCTTGGTCAACTTTTAAGAACCCCAGTGGTCCGTCCTACCACAGATATTTTCCACCAAACACTTAGTGGTGCAAGAGTGGGAAGAGCAGCATTTTAATAACTTTAATCAAGAGGATTTACAAGGGGATTCAGAAAATGTCCCCATCCCCAGACTTGAAGCAGCTCATCCTGCTCTGCATGAAGACTGACAACAGTAATGTCTATCATCACGATCTGTTTGTTTGTTTTCCCTTAAAAGCACAGTGACAGAAGTGATATTGTATTAGTAAAGCCTAGATGTACAGATATAAGTAGACTGTATCAATTTTTACAACTCTGGGCGATGTAGAGGACTGCAGAGTAGGTCTCAAGATGCACTTGTAGAACACAGCTGCTTTATGAACTAATCTTATATAGAAACCACAGCAGTTACTAGTTACACAATATATTATACATACCCCTTCAACAGCATGAACAGTATATTTTGCTGAGTGCAGATATATTCAACTGTGGGTGTTCTTGTACCAATCTGTCTTCTCAGAATGTTGTTGAATATCTGAGCCACATCTTTTTTACCCTATCAAAATGCAAGCAATACAGCATTTTAACATTTGGGCTCCTATGAGGAGGAGTAACATTAGAATCAGGTTAACATCATGCCCTTAAAGTAGGAAACTGAATTAGCTCAGTACAATGCCTTGCATTTGCCAGTGCCCAAGAAAACTCCAAGCATGTGCTGAAGTGATAGCCATTTTAACATTATGTAAGCTTACAGTTAAACCAATGATATGCTTTCAGCCTACAGGATTTTATCTTCTAGGATAAAAATTACTATAATAGCTGCAGAAGCTTTCATTCTACAGCTATGAAAAAAATGTTCCTGGTTGCTACTGGGAAAATCCTCCTTTTTCCAGCATGACTGAATTATGTTGAAAAGAGAAAAAACTTGTTATCGTTCAAGGTTTTATCCCATGACTTGTCATGGGTTGTTTTCTATTTATAAGGCAAACTTTGTGTTCTATGGTTATTCATATCAAAATGCAGCATTTATCATCTTTACGAGACAATTAGTAACAACCATTTGGTTTTCTTTTTACCTGAACACAATCCAGTCCACTGCGGGCAAATCTGCATGTGGATGGACTATATCAATTCAGATTTGTTTAGCTCTCTCTCCCTGTTTCTAAACCCAAGTGATAGTAGAAACAATTTTTGTCATGCCCAGGATAAAAATTCATTTATGCCCATAATGCCCTTCAGAGAGTATGAGGCATTTTATTATGTTTTTTGTCTCCTGGACCAATTTGAGTCCAAGAGAGCCTTTTGATAAAACAGGAAGGGACATTCTTCACTTCCTGTTGTTTAAAAAGGCTTCTCATGGACCTTTAAACATGAGGAAAATATCTCCCACACTCCTGAAGGGACATATCTTTTTATCATCCTTTTGTGGAGGGGTGCATTGGGGAATGCGGCCCTCAGTCTGCCACAGTCAGTGTAAATTATGGGGCTAGCACCTTGTGAAAGATGAGAGGCTGCTTCCCTGAGAGAAAGACACAACATTAGCACTTTTCTAATTAAACAATACTGAAACAATGTCATGACTGCTCACAAGGCAGCAGTTAAAGTGTCATACCCAGCCAAAAGAGCTAAACATTTGACTAAGGTCAACATGCTCACCCTTTGCCGACCAGGCTGTTTTTTAAATTTTACTTCTATTGTAAGCTTGTCCTGAGCAGCACTAAAATTCTTTGTTCTACCAATGAGTACGGCAGTGTTTCTGAAAATTCCTCACCCAAACTCCGCATATCACAACAATCCTCCGTCATTCAGAAACTCGGCCAACTTTGCCCAGAATCCCATTATTTGTCCTGGACTTGCCACTAGCAACAGCATTTCCTTGTTAGTTACATAATGAACTTTGTGACGGTTCACAATAATAAACAATTCATTATTTGTATGAACTAGTTATTACTTCTGAGTGATGTAACTGTGGTCATGATGATAAGCATACCGTACTAGGAGAGGTGAAGAGTAAAAGTTACATGAACTGATCTAAACAGCAGAAGATGTTTAACAAATAATTTCCAGAGGAACCCATGAAAGATCATAACAGTAACTGAAACAGTACATATGGTAATTTATTTTCAATAGAGATAAAAGGCTTTCCTTTCATTTATATGCTGCATTCATGGAAGAATACAGAATATACACTTCAAATTTAAGCCATTTAACATTACAAAAGGAATTAAACTAAACCTTTCTTTCAAAAGGGGGCTGCAATGAATTAGAAACACAAAATTCAAAACAATTCAAACAAAGGTCAAAGAGTTCTAAAACTTTTGTAAGACCAATTCCAGGCAGTAAAAAACTACCCAACCATGTTTCATTATCTGCTAAGATCTCATATTGAAGTTGGAGAAGGCTTGTTTCTGCTGTTCTAGAGGCTAGGACATGGAGCAATGTATTCAAACTGCAGGAAAAAAGATTATACTTGAATATTAGGAAAAACTTTCTCATGGTTTGATGCTGCATCAAAGTGTAATGAAGTCTACTTCTCTGGAGGTTTATAAGGAGAGGCTGGAAGGCCATCTGTCAGAAGTGCTTTGATTGATGGCTGAGGGCTGGACTGAATGGCCCTTGTGGTCTTTTCCAACTCTATAAATCTATGATTCTGTGATTCTAATTAATATACATGGTGGCACAGGGGATTAAACCACAGAGCTGCTGAACTTGCTGACTGAAAGGCCAGTGGTTCGAATTCAGGGAGCAGGGTGAGCTCCTGCTGTTAGCCCAGCTCCTGCCAACCTAGCAGTTCAAAAACATGCAAATGTGAGTAGATCAATAGGTATCACTTCTGTGGGAAGGTAAAGGCGCTTCATGCAGTCATGCTAGCTACATAACCTAGGAGATATCTAAGCTCTTTAGCTTAGAAATGGAGGTGCGCACCACTCCCCAGAGTCGGACACGACTAGATTAAACGTCAAGGGGAAAGTTTTATCTTTACCTTTACCATAAATGAACTAGCCAGAGTCTGAATCAGTAGAAAAGTTGGAGCTGAAGGTTTAATGTACTGACCCAATAACCCTGCATAAGACACTAATAATTAAGAGACATGGTTCACTTCCTTATTAATCTATTCTGGAATGCACATCCAAGAGAAAATTGTCATTCATAATGATATCAAGTATAAAAAAGGCCAGAGAGACCTGACATTCCAAAGTAAATCCATCATTCCAAGGTCCATTTAAAGGAGAAACTTCAGCCTAGCTCACAGGGAGTGAAGCAATACTATTTCTCGGTACACCAGGATGGTTATAAAATTTCTCATGAGTACTTTTTGAAGCACTGCAGTAATAAAAAATACAGTGCATCAAGACAGAGAATCTAAACTATAGAGTTGACACCACCACATGAAAAAAGTCTGATGAACACCAAGAAGAACAATAAACATGCTTGTCACATTACCTTGAAGGCAGAAACATTCCAGCATATATTTGAACTACCTAACCTTTAGGGCTTTTCTTTTAATTTAAACAAATGATTTTGCTCACATTAAAAAAGACATGGACATGCTCCCTCTATGGAGGCTAGTAAAGAGAGCAAATTCACTTTAGAATTGCCATCCAAGATGTAATTCTTTTAAATAAGAATCTTTTAGAATGCAGTGAACCCTAGATTGCCCTCTGCTATCTGTCATTTAGAACGATCACAAAAATCTAATCATATTGTTGGAAAAACAAATAGACACAATTCAGGTGGCAAGACCTATTGAAAAATATGATGGGGAAAACAGATATACAAAACTCCAACATATGCATCTACATATTAGTACGTTTTATTTCCGATCTTTGTGGATTCTGGGTGACACATCTTTCCACTACAAGGTATTAAAATGCAAGGGGACTTAATACAGTGTAAAATAATTCAGTTTCTTGGTAGTTACTGACACAAATTTTGAAATACTGTATATTTGGTGTTTACAATTCCTAAACCCATAAACAGAAATTTGGAAAGATTACCTGAAACTGGTTTAAGTGCACGATAATATTTTCTTACCTCGAAATCAATCAGCTGCAGATCAGCCACAAGGGTGCTAAGAAGACCACTGTTGTATAGCTCCTGAGCTAGCTGGGCCACAGCTTCTGTCTGAGGCTCCTTTTCATTCGTGCCATATAAAATTTCTTTCATGGCAACTAGATTTTTTGAAACTTCTTCAGTTGCCTGAATAAAACAAAACAAAACAGAAATAACTCTATTTCTAAATCTAGCAACCATTATGCTGATTAGCATGTACTTTCCACTGCATTTTTAATAGCAATGTGCCATAGATACCATTTTGAGAACTAAGACAATGGCCAGAATGCTGTCAGGATACTAGATCAGCATAAAAATATTTGTACAAAGAGATACACTTTCTCAAAGAATGGGAAGCACTATACTAGTGCTGTCCATTCTCTAACCAGTAGCTGTCGCTACATTGTATTGAATATTTTATTTAAACTGAGTTGGGCTTTTATCTTTTATAAGTGTCTTTTATTGCAATGATGATGAATTTTACTTGCATTTTATGTGTTTTATGTGACTACTGCAACATGCTCTATGTGGGGCTGCCTTTGAAGACAGCCCCACATAAGAGCGATACAAAAGATACAAGTAGTCCAACGGGCGGCAGCCAGGCTGCTCACCAGAGCAACGTACAGGGAGCATACAACCCCCCTGCTACATCAGCTCCACTGCCTGCCAGTTTGCTATCGAGCACAATTCAATTAAATGGTTCTGGTCAACTTACCTGTTCGAACGTATCTCCCTCTATTCACCAATTAGAACATTCTGATCTGCCAAGGAGGCCCTACTCTCAGTCCCACCCCCTTCACAAACGCCACTGGTGGGGACGAGAGACAAGGCCTTCATAGTGGTGGCCCCTCGGCTGTAGAACTCCCTCCCCAGTAACAGTAGATTGGCTCCCTCCCTCCTGGTGTTCAGGAAAAAGCTAAAGACCTGGCTCTGGAACCAGGCATTCGGGGAGGAGTGCAATATGGATTTGAATTAAACCCAGCGCCATGAATAATAACTATGAGACTAGGCATTATGTTTTAATCTGTTTTAATTGTATTTATATGTTTTATTATTGCTTAATGTGTTGTATTTGTATTTATAATGCAGCATTGGGGTTTTCTTTAAGCTGCTCTGAGTCCCCTTTGGGGTGAGAACAGCAGGGTAGAAATGTAGTAAATAAAAATAAATAGATTTTATGAAACTATTATGTGTTGTCTGTAAGCTCCCGCAGTCCCTCTGGAGAGATTGTGGCAGTATATAAATAAAGTTGTTGTTGTTATATTATTATTATTATTATTATTATAGATTATGCAAGTGGAGTCCCTAGAAGAGTCAATGACATTCACAGTCCTCTCTCACCTTTGAGCAAATGGGTGGGAACCTACATGATCAATTATGGATGCAAAAACCCCAACTGTCATATGAGTACATTCTAACAGAGGAATAAAGAATGACAGACTTTAGTTGAAAGACAGAACACAGCAGACTGATACAAGGTCAAAGAGAAAGAGGAGACAGAATGCTAGCAAAGCCTGGTTTATGACTAAGTAAATATTTACAGCACCAAGAGCAATTAAGTATACCACAGACCAGCACACTGGGAGCATAAAAATAAATGCTGAGGTAAACCAAGAAGATGGGAATAGATCAACATACATTTAAAAAGCAGGCTAAAATCTACCCTAACTGTTGATTTTTTAAAATCCAACGATTACATCCTATTAATGTCTGTGACAACTGAAACAAAATGCCAGCTCATGGGATGAAAAAAAGGGCTGTCTGCATTGGCTGAACTGATGCAAGAACCTCAAATTCAAGTATTTTTGCCACTCTATGCAGAGCAGGTATCTAAAAATGCAAGATTAGTACCTGAGAGCAGCAATTTTTATACGAATTCCATAAGACGACAGTCTTCTCTACTCAACAAAGTGCCAACTCCACACCTTATCTGCAACCAGGGCCAGACAGTAATGAGCAAACACCTCTTGGCTTCCCTTGCCCCATCAGTTTGTCTCCATCACCCCCTCTCCAGTAATCTGTGACAGATACACCCTTCACAAGACAACCAATTCACCTATCTTTCTGCATAGGGAGACATTATTAGTAACAATCACATAAAAAGGGATATGGATCTGACATGAAATACTGAATTCTGTTTTGTATTTTCATTTTGTTTATTTGATTTATACCACACTTTTCTCCCCAATAAAATTCAAAGTGTCTTACAATATTGTAAGACCCCTGTAACTATGGAAAACATATCAATTGTTTGCACCTGTGAAAAATAGACCAAAAATTGCTAGATTCTCCTGTTGATCCTAGGGTATACCAGAGGTTGCCACAGAGTCATACTGGAGGACCTAGCAAATGGCATTTTGTCGTATTCACAGTTTCATGTAACTTTCTCAGTCCAGCTGAGAAAGTATTTCCTGTGAATACGAGGGTTGTACTGTACTTTACTGTACTAACATGAGACACCCCCACACACATAAACATATGGACAAAACCTCACTATTTTTAGGCATGGAAGATTGCTATCTCTCCACAAATATGAACAAGTTGACTTAGAATTAATTCCAGAAAAATACTTTCTGAACACGTGACACTCTCTCCACTCAGCAGCGAATTATCTGGCTAATCAAGGTTTTGATTACCATAACAGAGCACAATAACAACCAGAAAGAGGACGTACCAACTTCCTTTTAAAAGATCTAGCCCTCCCTTAACCAATTTGTAACCAAAAATATTTGTGACTATAGGACTAATAATCTGATATTCAAAATATCATTTTTACATCATGAAGAACAACTGAAAAGACCACTGCCAATACTGGATTAAGTAAAGAAAACAGGCTGCTTGAAAAAAATAGTCCAATCAGTATACATAAGCATTCTGAAACAGGGCCCCAAAATGGTCTTATCTCCCTTAGGCTTCCTGCTTTCCCTTCTTTAAATAACAACTAGCTCCCCTGCCACAAAAATTTCAAGTTGCTACATTTCTTTCATAGCCAGAGTTGTAATAATCTCTTAATTTGATTGCACATTACAAGATGTTTCTAACCTAGTCTAAATCATATACTGTATATGATGGAGTGCTATGCCTGTGTAATTTAATGTAATTGTACAAGGCTGTAACTTGTACAATTACACAGTTTACATTTGCATTGTATATATTTGTGGACCTATCAAAGAACCTGTTGCTTGAAGAGAGGAGACCTGAGACACCAGAACCGCAAAAAGTTCAAAAACTCTGTAGTGTAACATTGCAAGCACTGCAGTGAGGCTATTTATTCCTGTTAATGGAAAATTGCTCAGTTGGCTTACAGAAGAGCTGTTCAGTCTTGCCAGCAGTTAAGGGATCAGCATAATTCCATGTACAGTAGTTCAGTTGCATAATTTGTCAACAGGCAGGTTTATTCACAGAAAATATGTTAAATATTAAAGCCCAGGCCTTCCTCTGCCAATCTGATTCCATTGTTCCACCAGTGAAAGTGACCCACTGAAAAGCACCCAGTATTCCAGGTAGTGCAACAGAGCTTAGGTCACTTACAGGACTACATTATACAGTAATTAATGAGCATTGGTTAGGAAGACTATTTTTAAATGGTCACTCTTCCTCCAGGGAACTTATAGTGCTGTTTCTGCATCACTTAGTACTCTGCATTAAATCCCATGTTTGGAGGAAGGTGAGTTATAAATTAAACAATATTTTTAAAAAGCAAAGGCAATATTTGTCAATTAAGAAGAAGGAAAACTCAACAATAATTTTAATAGAAAAGGGTAGTTATATATTTATGGTTCCCTCCCTTTTTTCCCAATCTGGGCTTCTGTTATTCAGGCAAATAAGGAAGAACTTTAGATTGTGTTTGTTTCCCAAGATTGGATGCTAGCATGATTAACATCTTAGCAGCTAGAAACGAAAAGTCCATCTTGTATTATTATGAGATCCAAGTGAAATGGGAGATAGCTTACTGAGTGCAACATAAAACTCAGTGCACAAATTTCTTTTTAAATGTTTAATTCCCTGTGTGATGTTTAGATATGGTTGTAGAAGCAGGTGAATTCAACTCCAAGGCAATGTAATTTAACTTTCCAAGACACAACCGGGATCAACAATTAGTAGCCACTAGGGTAGCAACCTCCATTCAAATGCTTCATTGAATGCATCTCTAAGAAACAAGAGCCCATAAGAAAGTTCCTCATTCTATAGAGGGGAATATTGTTACCCCCCCCCCCCCACACACACACACACACACATCATGAATGCCTCTGCTTTGCAGTATTTGTGTATACCTGAAACATTTCCTGGTTACTGTCAAACAGTTTTTGATGAACATTTAACATGAAATATGTGGTTGGTTTTGCCTGTTTCTTTGTTTTCAGTCTACTATATTACTATTTTATTTTTTAGAAACAAGCAACAATGTAATGCCAGCAACATAATTCAATTCTTTTTTTTTTCTGCAGCCACAATTCACTGTAGAATTTGGTTGAAGATTACAATGAGGTTCAGAGAAGGCAATGTGTTACTCTTCCAAACTGTAATGACCAGTTGAGTGAAAATTTAACTTTACACATACCAGAGTGTAAATATTTTCCTCTTTAATCAATTGGGACACATTTAAAAACCTTTCCAAACAAGCAAAACAAAGTGAGAGAACTGCAATTTGTTGGAATACTGATTTTCTTGATAGCTCTTTTATTTCTTGTCTTCAAAAATTATTTTTGGACTGTTTTGTTACTAATAACTTAAAAATGTGTATGAGTCAAAGGACCAGTAGGAGAAATTCTGAACACAAGTCAAATTTGTTTAGGATGTCACCACAACTAAAAATAGATTCAAATTAAGCAACAAACCTTGGTCCTCAGTAGTGAACCTGGAAGTAACCTAGAATGTGCTCTGAAGGGAAAACTAATAAGTTTAAAAAGCTATTATGATGGCAGTGGCCTTCTCTGTTAAATGCTATTCTAATTTTTGAAACCTTTTCAAGTGAACTGTCACCTTAAATTCCACTTTTTGGAGGGGTACTAAAAACAATTCCAGAAGAAGAAACTCCCTTCACTGGATACATCTCCCTGGACCCCAAACTTCCTGCGTTAGTCCTTTTCAAACAGCTCCTTTGTTCCCTTCTCTCAATTTCACCACCATCACCAACCAGTTGGTGAGGACGCAAGAGAACGCCTTCTCAGTGGCTTCCCCTGTACTCCCTTTTCCAGAGAGACCAGAATGCCCAGAAGCAAGCTAACATCCTAACATCTCTTTATTCACACAAGCTTTAAAGTTTTTAAAGAACAAGCTGGGGTGGGGGGGGGGGCTGCATTGCTGTAATGAAACATCTTTTTATATATTTATCTTAACTGAATTGTTGTAATAATTGTAACAAGTTTCGTTGTATTTTAGTATTGACCTTCTGTATGTTTTAATTGTATTGCTTTTAAAGTTGTGAACCGCTTTCAGTCTCAAAACCTGAGGAAAAAGGCAGAATGATGATGATACCTGAATAGGAAACACAGTGGTGTCCTTGGTATCAAAAACTATAGATGTTGAAGTCCCATTATATACAAGAACACAATAAATGCCATACCTTATATAAAAAGGCATAATTAAAAGTTCGCCTTTTGGATTAAAAATATATTAACAGGTCCTGGATGGTTGGATTCATGGGTTTGTAGTTCTGATTGTATTAATCCTGTTGGACATTTCAAACTTCATCCCCCAAAGTGTCAAGCCCAAAGCTGTCCAGGAGATCTAGCACTCTACTCTTCCCTTTCAATGATCCCAGTGCATTTATGAAACCACAGTTCAGGAAACAAACACTGATCTCAATTTTTATAAATGTTCTGCTGTTTGAATCTGAGCCCTGTTCTTATCTGATACCACCACCTTGTCCCCAAACTGCTGAAGCTGACTTTAGAGTGGGGGTTCTTAACCCTTGGGTCCCCAGATGTTTTGGCCTTCAACTCTCAGGAATCCTAACAGCTGATAAACTAACAGGGATTTCTGGGAGTTGTAGGCCAAAACACCTGGGAACCCACAGGTTGAGAACCACTGCTTTAGAGCCACACTTTCTCTAGTTCAGCAATCCAACATGGGCCTATTTCAAGCCTGTGCACCTGTTTCAAAAACATATGTAGTCTCTTTTGAAGGGCAGCAAGTGGCAGTGATGGTACTGCAAATTTAATACTAGCTGAATATTTTAGGGCCTTGGGCTATATGAATAATAGAATAGGGAATTAGTGGCTAAGCATGAGAATTCACAAATCAGCCTGTTCTAAAGTAGTTCCTTGAATTCTTTTCTACAGCGTGATGCATTTGTGACTTAAGCAGAATAGACACTTGAACTCCCATCTAAAAATGGTGAGCAAATTCCATTCATTGACTAAGGGGAAGTATTCTGAGACACAAGAAAATCAAGGAACAATCAACATACATACAACATAAGGCTAAGGAAAGGTTTTACAGAAGAGCAGATTTTGATGTATTTATAAAAGTGGTTCAACAAACTGAGAGCAGAGACATTGTCCCAAACAGAAAACAGCACTGTAGAAAATGTGAAGATAGTGCTGATAGCAAGTAAGTGTGGGTTGGGAAGAACATCAGTATGAAGATTGTAATCACTTAGTTGCCAAGGTCAACAAGCAGATAGGCTGTAAGTAGACAGAAATGCTACTTTTAAAAGAGGAAAGGAGACATGAGTTTAGTGCATACATATAAAACAATTAAGCAGCCCTGCACTTCCTCTTCATATCAAGAGAAATACCCAAATAAGGAAATTAAAAAATATATACCTTTTCTACCTTCTTGTCAGAAATATCTTGCTTTTCTAGTACCGCCATACTCTCCTTTAGATTCTTCACTATGTCTGCAGGAGACTTGTGTGATTTGCCAAAGGGAAATGGCATGGTTGCAAGCTACTTGTGCCTCTTCTTCTAGAATTCCTCCTTCACCTGCAAAAACATTTTAAAAAGTATGTTAGGAATAATAAGATACAGTTCAGAACTGCGGAGCAAATAATGGACATTGTAATTTAACTCATTTTTTTCAGGGGAAAAACAAACATTTCCAGTTCTAAAAGATAAAGCACATACGCAGTCATATTTAGAATGTCTATTTTTTCAGCATGAAATTCTGCAATTACACCCAGAATTTGGTGAAAGAGATAAATTCTGTATTATGTGGAAGACAAATGAATGTATTATGCTGCCTATATCAATTTATTAATTAGATGTTTTGAGCAATGAAACCTACTGAATGTAGGTTCATTAAGTTCACATAATAAGTGGTCTTAATACCAGAAAAAGCCATTTGAAAGAAACATTTGCCTTTCCCTTGGGCCCATCACTAAAGGGAATATGGAATATTGTACTCATGTGGGATTTCAGTGCATAAGAGTGCCCCACAGAGATAGGATCAGATTATTTACATTATATCATATCCCAACCCTTTTATGATTAACATACTATGTCTTTTTTTTTAAAAAAAGGAGCCAACTTTTATTACTATTTTGGACAGAAAACTCTAATATGAGTCACAAAAGCCAGCTGTACTTCAATTGGCTGAAATGTACATCACAGGCATTTCAAACATGTAAAGTATTCTGTATCCTACCAAATCTTTCAAGGCAATGTTTACAGTCTGTTTATTTTAGTATATCGAGAATAATTTAAAAAATGCTTTAGCTGTCCCACTGTTAAATGTGTCTGTCCTAATTAATAAATAGCACATTCCCTTAGACTACTTAATGACTGGACCTCTAGAATTCTCGACGGGATATAAAGGAACAGAAAAGCCTGCTCTTCAAAAATGCTGATGGGTTGTTACTCCTGCAGCAAACAAAAGGATGGTTGAAGCTGACAGAGCAGAGGTCACAATGTCATTACAAAGAATGGCTGTCCCCACCTGACACAAATGAAAATATCCCACAGTCTGGGTCAGGAAGCAAATTGCTATTGCCCAGTTTAAAAATAAACAAAGATCTTCAGTGAAACAAAGTGGACAATGAAGAAACTTGGCAGAATTATCTGAACTTTATGGATTCCCAATTTCAAGCCTCAGTATATCCATCAGCCATTGAGTTGTTTTGAAATGATAATTTGCAAATACAATAAATGGGCACAAGTGAGGCAGCAGAATCACAGGTAGAGCCATTACATTTATGGAAGTCTCAAAAATTATCTTTACCCAGCTTTTTAATATAAAAACATCAACCGATGAAGCTTTTACTTTCAGCACTGTGAACATTTGCTCCCACATTTCAACATGACGTAAAAGAGAGGTGCATGAAATAAAGTATTGCAGTGCTTTAGAAACTAACAAAATACCACAACATGTTGTGGAAACTGGAGGAGAATTACTCAGCTCCCCACTAGGTGTTGTTACTTGCAGCAAGGGAATGTGCACATCACACCTTGCAACGCAATGAACATCCCTAGCATTTTTGGAAAGTACATCTCTAGCATTGGGATAATCTACATGTTGCTCTTTCAGATATCATACCAGGAGTACAAAAAACATGTCTGCTACTTACACATTCCTTTAAAGTTGGAAGTAGATTCAAAAGAAAACAAACCAACAACAAAGAAAAATTGAGAGGGAGGGAAACTTTTTATACTTACTCCCTATTATTGTCCAAGAATCCAACAGCTCACAGACTCATGCAAGAAGCTTATGCTAGCTTGGATATTTTTAAGACCTTCTTTGAACAACAACCTACCAGATGATTATATCGTCAACTGTTTTCAAACTCATTGTAGTCTCTGAAGCAGTTTGTTTTGATATAGGATGTTGATGTTCAAGAAAAACAAGTGCAACACACTCTTTTGCTCAACAAACTGATGATGGGATTCTCTAGATATGAGCCACAGCCTACAAGTAAGAAAAACTTTTTGGACTGTGTTTTGTATCCCCAGCCCTATCTGATGGTGGGGAGCCCCCGCCAACGATTGGCCTGTACTGCAGCGGAGAGTTCCACAGTTCCTGGTTGTCACAATTGGAAGAAACTGATGAAATGTGCCCCAGCAGGCAGCTCAATAATAAGTCTGCACTCAGCCTTTCATTGCTTTCCCTTTCTCCCTACTTTGTAACAAAGCCCTAATAAAGGTACTTGAGATTTGCAACTTTAAAACTTTCCCGCTTGATACTTTGTGTCCTTTCCTTGCCTGAACCTTCTCTTCGCATGAGGTAAGCCTTTTTCCAGGCTCCGGAGAGCCATGAGCCTGCTGGGGGGCGCCTACTGGCCCCGCCCCCCCCGGATCCCGGATCTGCGTTCGGCAAAATCGCGGATACTGAAACCGCCATTTTGGACCCCAGTAAGCACTAAAACCGTAATACGGCGGATTGACGCCGTTCTAATTTTGTATTTTTCTGCTATTAATTCTAAGACTAACTGCCATCTCGCTTTCCTCATTTTGGACTCCTGCGCTCGGGGAATAATCATTTTGTTTAAAGCATTATTATCTGACAGCGAACAGCTGATTGTCAAAACTCTGCCGGCTCGGCGAAAGCAGCCTGTTTTCCTTTGCTGCCGCTCGTTCCTGCTCGGCCCTGCCATCAGGGGCTTGCTGTGGGCACCCATAGGAGGTCCCGGAGAAGCGGCCAGGCGGGAACCCCGGCCCCAGCGCGGAAGATCTAGTTCGCCAAGGGCCGGACAATGGATTCTGTTGCTGCCTGACCCAGCGCACATAACTGGGTTCCTGTTTCCTTTTTGTGACTCTCTGACTTATGCACTGGACTATTTATCATATCCATGACCATGAACTCTCTATTGGTGCCTGACTTGAGATACTGACAGCCTCCGCTTCCGCGGATCCTTTTCAAAGTTTATGAAGCCTCCAGCTTGTGCTATAATAAAGATCAAATATTGTAATAAATTTTCCTGGGATGGGGATGGGGTTTTCCCCTTATGAAAATGTGTATAATGAAATGTTGTATGAAGTATACTATGTTCCCTTTTTCCTGCCTTTCCTGCCGACCCTTGCCCCACAAAAGATGTGACCTGAAGATTACTGTATTGCCTTGGGGAGAGGCTCCTTTGTTCTCCCCAAGCCCTCCCTGATTGACTCACTAGCATGGAACAATACTGTTAATTCCCAACCCTAGCCCTCGGAGCATGTCCAGCGAGGGGAGGGGGTCAACAGAAACCTGGAAGAAAGGACTGATTAAATCACACAAAGACAACGTTGATCCACCTTTTGAGGTCCGTTGTCTGGCCAAATATTCTTTTCCCCAAAGCCATTCCAAACAGGAAAACTTTTGTTTGCCAGGATCACACCTTGCCGGCCTGAGACAAAGGCTTGCTGGCAACTCCTAATCCCATCATTTTCCCCCTCCATTGTTCACGGCCAGACCGCCTCCTCTCTCCTGATTTGTCCATCTTGCGAGGTGAGCGGAGGGCGCTCATTGGCCCCCTAGAGGCGAAGAAACGCGCTGATTGGTCCAGAGCAGGGGCGGGCCGCCCAGCCTCCTCCCAGCTGTTCCAGCATCAGCCAATCAGCGTGAAGCTGGCCAGCAAGGGGCGGGTGGGAATTTTGAAAGTTTTCCTTTGTATTTTTACTATAAATATGTCTGTATTCTTTGTACTGGTATGCTTGCAGTGGAATGATTCCTGCAATGCATCTGATTTCAGCTGAATCACAAATAAACTTCGGTTGCTGGAAACGTCTTCCACCTTGATGAAGCATTATTATTTGTAATATTTTGAGATTGGCTTCGCTGGCCTCACCAAGGGATCCAGGGCCCTTTTTTTGGCGCGGTCCTCGGGTTCCTCTCTCTTGAGGAGACCCCACTAAAAGCAGCTCGATATCATATCTACAAAAATCAAGGATATTTAATTCTCAACCTGCAAATCTCAACCTGTATGTATTATAATTTCTGGCCAAACAACAGTGTAATGTGTCACTGGTGGCACTACCATACTATCACTAAATGCCCACAACTACTCACATCAACATTCATAAATAAGCTGTCACTGAAAACAATTTATAACCCAAATAAAAATATATTTATCTACTCAAATTATCTTTTATATGCCTGCAATGGATAGCTTCCTATAGCAAACAAAACCAGGAAGGGAATCTTTCCATATATAACATTAAGGCTATCACATATAATTTTACATATAAGAAAAACATGCAGCAAGGACAGCTAAGGAAAAAAAACTATAATAAGTTTTAAGGACTGATTCTCTGCTTCTCAGAATAGTAAGCAATTCCAAATCCTAATTAAAACAACAGTTTTTTTAGAGCTGGAGTAATGCCTCTTTTCCAAAACAGCTGTCAATCGGTATTATGCATTTTTCAGACACCCATATTACATAGCACTGTGTGCACTATATTGGGATATGTGTATGAATGTTTTCTGTGTGAAGATTAAGCAACTGAATAGACATATGTCCTAAATATCTGCTTATTTCTATGTATGCAGAATGGAATACAGAAAGGGAGGAAAAGTGATAGATAGTTAGAAGATACCTATTATTCTTTCTGGAGAAGGTGAAAAGGACCAAGTCATGATGTACAGTGTGATTTATGGCAACATTTGATGTTGTGAAAGAATACAATCCTGAAGTCAATCTGACAGAAAGAGGAATATGATGGCAGGCACCAGGATCAATTTGCTATTTCATGGAAAACAGCAAAACAAACACACCAAAGCGATATTTTACCAGACTTAGCTCCCAAATCTTTAAAACAGACTAACAGGAAGCCATCAAATTTATCAAAACATCACCATGTGCAGACACATGCTTTTCTATTTGGCATAATGCAAGGATGTCACAAACCTAATACTGATGATATTGGAGTCTAATGTAATAAACTGTTGGTTTGAAAATCAACATATGAGTTTATACTACAGATACTCTGACAAACACACACACAACTGTTACAACTTTTCAGAGTTCTTCTTTTTGGTTTCTAAGGATATACATGTGCCACACTTAAGAGCTAGG